GGCGGGGGGGAGGGCGATGGGGTGGAGCTGCCCCAAACTCCCCCATGTGGCCCTCAGTTTGGAGTGCGGAGGATTAGGTGGTTCCGGGCGGGAGGCACGGAGGCGATCGGCCCCGGGAGCTCCCGAGGTGGCGCCGAGCGGGTGAGCCTCCCATCCTCCACGCGTGGGCTCGCGTCCCCTCTCCGTTTCCAGCCTCTTTGTCAGCTCCTCTTGTTACCCTTCCTGCTCTCTCACCGCCCCAGCTTTTGGAATACGTTTTTTGCTGCTGTCTTTAGCTTCCTGTTGTACATACTGTAGTTCTGGGTACCCCAAACAATTGTGATGTTATTCGGGAAGCTGGACATGGAGGCCCCCAGCGGTGCATTACGCCTTAAGGGACGTCACCAGAGCACTGGGGTATTTGTTCACTCTTCTCATAAAGGGACAGGAATTCCAAATTTCTTAAGACCCTTCACTCTGTGGGCAGGCCCTAAAATCGCTTTGCACACTGGTGTCACAAACAGGAGACCGCTCCTTTTCCACCAGTTCTTGAAATGTAGCCACCTCTGGTGTAGGATGTTGTGGAAAGAAAAACACCACAGTAACAGGCCTTTTTGTTGTTATTGTTATCGTTTTGCCTTTGACTGCCCCTGGTTATTAGCTGGAGAAATCCTTTTTTGTCTTCCCCTGGTCCACCTCCCACCGCCCATATCCTGCTTTGGGGCTATCTGATGTGACTTGCTGGGAGGTGATGAGAGTCGGTGACAACCAGCATTACTGTAGAACCGAAACGTTTTGGCTGTGTATGGGTTGATAAAACTGCTTTGAGATCCTACACCATTGTCCTTAAAGATTAGACTATGCTCGTGATTCTTTCCGTTGTAAACGGGAAGTATTTCTGGCATGTAAACTAATGATGGAAGGCCTGAAAATGTACTGTTTTGTTTTGATTTTTAAAGCTCTTCCTTGTTAAATGCGTCCTAACTGGGAAATGCTCCTTTTGAAAATCAAATTCAAGTTGATGGGGAAGGGGATGCAGAGGTCATTACCACAAAGCGCCTAGGGGAATTAGTTGCTCTGTAAGAGGTAGCAAGCCTGACCCACCCCAGTCCAGCGTCAGTTTCTGAATTGTTTCTCAAATTAGATTGTAAGCTCCCTGAGGGCAGCAACTAAGTCATACTGCTTTTGTATTTTCTAAAGTACTGGACGCATAGTAGATACTCAATAAATACTTGTTACTTATTTTTTTCTGTAAAATTTCTCTGGCTATTTTTTTAAGTAGCTGGTTTTCAAAAAATGGTCAAGGGCACTCCCGTGTTGAAACCTGTATTCGTTCCTGCGCTATTCCCTTGGTCTCCAATACTTCTCACCTATTTCCCTTAAATATTTTTGTTTTCTAAGGAAGAGGACTTTAAAAAGATTCTTCGCCTCCACTGATAACTCTGGATATGTCTCTGCTTGCTACTAATTCTGTGTCCACCAGTGATCCATCCCAGGTCACTTACCTATATTGCTCAGTGTTGTTACTACCTAGGTGGTAAAATTTTCCTAGTCACACATTTCAAAGCACTTGTAAGAGAGAAATGGAAGTCAATGGCAGGAGTGATCAGGAGGATTCTTTTTTCCTTTCCTGAGTACTTATGTGGCTTTCAAGATGACTTTTTAATATAGTTACAACGATTGGTACAGTATATGCAGTTCATATAGCTTAGTCATGCAGTTCATATCTGTAGTATAAATCATGTTCACAAATTGAAATCACATGTGGAGCAGAAAGCCGTCAATATTTGTAAGTTTCAAGAGTAGGACTACTCATCTTAGAGCCAATTATTAAGCATAATGGTTTTCCTCTAGTTTTACGATTTTTTTTTCCTCTTTGATTTGAATTCAGGGGTACTTGGTTAAACAACACTGGGTTTTTTGTAAATTAAGCGTTGAAACTTGACTATTATGCCAGCCTGGGAAAAATAGACTTTGTAGCAAATAATCCTGTGCTAGCTATAAATATTTATAGGTTTTTGTGTGCACGTGTGTGTAGGGGGAGAGGTAATGGTTAAAAATTAGTCCTGATGTTTCCTTAAAAATCTTTCTCGGTAGTAGAGGATGTAGAACTCTTAATTCTTAATGACCGCATTACAAAACAAAGACCTATGCAACCTATTGACCCAACTTGGTGAAGAATTTATCCACAAGGAAGTCAGCTTTCTTTGTGACCCAAGAAACAGGTGAAATTTACTTTCTAATAGTTAATCCTTCCATATTTCCTTAGAAGCCTACCCTGCCTCACTCTCAAATCCAGCTATGTCTTCTGGGCAGTCTAGAATTGTCTAACCA